GGAGCTACAGACCAAGATGTGAATGGGTTGTGGTTATCAAGGAAAGAAAAAAGTGTTGCAAACTCTCAGCCTAATGTTCTGAAAAACAACCCTCAAAAAATTTCTCAAATGAAGCAGAAGTAAAATTAGAGATTGATGAAAATGTGGTGTCTCATTTGTATTACCTTCATTTATAATTAATTTTATATTTATAATACAGTTGGAAATTCTTCAAAGTGTCCTTACTATCTATCATCCTATTATTTATAACTTTTGAAGGACAAAAATCAATTATTTTGTAGAATGCACCAAAATCTGAGGGTTTTTTCAAAATTTCCCATTGATTGGAAAAGGGTTATATATTTTTGATAAGATTACTAAATCAGTGCTATTGTGACTCAGTGTATCATGTCAAGGAGTTCATGATGCCAATATCTTATTATTGGTGATGATGAACTCATTTACTCAATTATGTTAGCACAAAGTTTCTATCTTTCCTGTTGTACTTGATAAATATTTTGGGGGAAATACATTGAGAATATATAAATCCTATTTACACTAAAACTTACACCCACTAAATTTGACATTCCTCAATGTCTCTTATCTACAGTTTATTATCATGGTGTTTGCCTAACTGTGATTCTCTGTTTTCCTTTTTTTCTTTACATCTATTAATTTGAAGTCTATTATGTGGAGGACTTATCTATTCATCTACATTTATTTATCTCTATTATTTAGTCACTTATATTAGTATGGATTCATAAATACTTACCAGGTTAAATACAATTACTTTGAACTTCCAAACATTCTAGCTTTGGTCTTAGTTCCTACTGGTTGAAACCTGTATTATTTTTGTTGTGGTGGTGGTATGTGCTTTCTTTTTTCCAATTCTCTTTATTAAAATTTTTATTTGAGGAAAATTATAGGTTCACATGTGTTTGTAAGAAATAACTTAAGAGAGAGCTGGGTGTGGTAGAGCACATCTATAATCCTAGCTCTGAGGAAGCTGAGGCAGGTAAATCATGAGTTCTATGCCAGCCTGCTCTACATAGTTAGTTCAAGGCCAGCCTGGGCTATAGAGAGAGGACCTGTCTCAAAAAACTCCACAAATAAAATAGAAAATAATTAATAAACTAAGATAATTTAGTGAAAACTCCTGTACTCTCGACCCAGTTAAATTCAAAAGGGAACATATTGTAAAACTATTGAACAATATTAGAACAAGGATATTCACATATAATCCATTGATTTTATTCAGAGATCCCTTACTTTTCCTCATTTCTGTGATTGTGTATGTTGCGTATATTTAATTTCACATAGTTTTAAAATATGTACACGCTTGTGTATCAAGAGTCAGGATACAGACAGTTACATCATTGCAAATATCCCTAATATGGCCCTTTTATAACTTCTCTTCCCTAAACATCTTTTTAAATCTGCCATCCACTACTATGTTTCTGTTCTCTATAATTTCGTCATTTCAAGTACATTATACAAATGGAAAAAAAGATTTTGTAACCTTTTCTGATTGGCTTATTTTATCAATAAGAATTTCCTGGATAATTTACTGCATATATAAAGTTTGTCTTATTTTATTATTAGCCTATTAATCAGTTTCCTAATAAGCCCATATCAAAAAATTTGATCTGACTCATTTTTATATTCCATTTACCATTGTCCCATAATATCCATTCCCATGCATGTTCCCTGTATTTATGTTAGCATAAAAATAAAAGTTCAAGTAGTTCCTTTGTAGTCATATCTCCTGGTGGGTCATAGTGTATACTTTTACCTTTAGGGTCCTGCTAGGACTTGAGTCTAGTCCTTGGCTTAGAAACAAAGAACAATCATATGTGCTGTCCTGGGAAGAGTCAACATTCTCTTGCATAGCAGCTGCCATTATACTTTCTTCAGGCAATGCAGAATTAATTCTTTCAAAGTTATGTGGGAACTCTGCTTCCATTGAGAATCAAGAAGCCTCTTTCCACTGATGGTAGAGTGGCCTTTACTACTAGGAAAAAAACTCATTAGAATTTAGAGAATCAATGTCCTTACTTTCATCTTGTACATGTTCCCATTCTAACTTTTAGAATCCTTCCTAATCAACATTTTCACTTTAATGTTGAAAACCTATGAAACTGGGAACTTGTTACACTTTGAATCTGAAATGTTTCCAAAGGCTAATACGTTAAAGTCATGGTATTAGCTGTTGGTACTCTGGGATAGTGGTAGAAACATTAGGAGGTGGAGCTTAATTTGAGGAATCAGGTCCTTTTGGGCATACTCTTGAAAGAAATATGGGGACCCAGGCCACTTCTCTTTCTGTTTGCTTTCTGTCCACCATGAAGTGAATAGTTTTCCCATGCCACATGATTCCACCATCCTGTACTACCTCAAGGCAGTCCCAATTACAACCAGGACAAGTGATTATGGACTGAATCCTCTGAAACCATGAGTCAAAATAAACATTTCCTCTCTTTAAGTAGATTTTTTTCCGGTATTTTTTCACAGTGATAAAATCTGCAATATGTAGAGTTCAACTTATGTGGTAATCAAAGCCAGTCACAGGATTGCTTTTCAGCAATCAGCCTTATAGATAAAGGTCAAATTCAGGGCACACACAGAAGTTCTCAATTCAGTTGTATGGGACTTGAGCTAGGAATCTGAATCTCTTCATCATCCTTTTCTTTCTCTACCTAAATGACATTAGAAACATCCAGCCAATATTATTACATTATTTTAATAACAATGTTCAAATGCAATGGACATAGTCTTCTAGCTCCTTGATTCTTATAAGTAGTTGATTAAGAATATCCATTTCTGATATTTTGCATATTTCTATTGCTAGATCATGTGATGGGCTATCAATGCTATATATAAAATCATTAGAGTATTTAAAGGTACTCAGATTATAGTGCCAACTCCAGAAATGTCAAAATCCTTAAAATTCTTTTCCTTTAGAACCACTCTTACTACTAAATCTGCATTAGTCAGGGTTCCCCAGAGAAACAGAACCCAAGGGTGTATGTGTTTGTGTGTGTATGTGTGTGTGTTACAAATGAAGTGCTGTGTTTAAACAATCACAGGTCTTTTGTGGGACACCAGGGAAAGTGTCCCCCCATTGTCCTGGATGGAAATGGATACAGGGTCATCTGGAATTTGGTGAGATTTGTAAAGGCAGAAAATTTTATCTAAGCCATTTGCTTGGACAGTGCCTTTAGAAGCTAGAGTGGTGCTTTATTGTGTAACTTTATGAAATAGCCTGTTGAGTGTTCAAAGCAGCTGGAGTTGGCATTAAGGAAGTCTGGCTGCCTGGCTGATAGTCCTTTCAATCAACATAGCCAGGGCACCAGGAAAATATCTAAAAGTTGTCAATTAAGGTGTGAAATTGCCCTAGCCTTCCAACATCTCAGCATACTTAAAGGAAAAATAAGCATTAAGAGGATTGCTTGCATTAAACGCTTATAGTTAACATTAACAGCGCTCTAATAGTATTTTACAGTGCTCTAAAAATGGTTAACTCCTGCACTAGTGTCCCAGGGAGAGGGGTTCTTATCATCTCTTTTAGGTTTATGACACATAGAAATGATAGTGTAAGTCCACACAAAACTACATTGTTTCTAGAAGCATATTTCCTAATGAACAAAAGGTGGAAACACCAAAGGTCTATGGAGTGATGGATACACAGAATGTATTATAGCCAAACAATGATTGAATGTTGAAAGCAATATGTAGAGTGAAAAATGCTATCCACAAAAGGCTATTCTATTATTTCATTAATATTATGTGAAAATGCAGAAAAAGGTAAAATTTCATAAACAGAAAGTATGTTCCAGATGCATAGAACTAATAAGAATCATCTAATCAGGGGTGAAAACTAAAGGGTACTGTAATTTTCTTTTATGAAGGGAAAATATTCTAAAATTGACTTTTGTTATAAGTATATATCTGTGAATAGACTGAAATAGTGGGAATGGATAGTTTGAATGAATTGTGTATGAAGTGAAAGTTACCTCAATGAATTGTTAAAAACAAGACTAGACCTTTAAGGGGAAATCAAAGAAACTGTGTTCTGACTAGACTATGGATATTCCCCAATATACCCAATGCTATGTCTAATACTTATTTCCTCCTCTTAACAAAGGGAAGGATATTTTTATTATTTCAATTAAGTCAGCAAGCAAAAACGTCAGCTCTTTAGGACTAATCCAAAGCATGACAGCTTCATTTTGTTTTAAAACAAGGCCTCTGGTTTGGGTTCTCAGACAACTCAAAACTGCAGTGGGTGTGTAACACAGATGTAACCATAACTACTCCTTGTATCACCTATCTGTTTTAGATATCTGTTACCAAATTGAGATTGTTATGCCTCTGTGTTCCTGATAGACATGTTTCAATTTTCATTTCTCATAATTCTTTTCTCAGTGTGTGGTGTCATGGTTATGTTTAGTTCCTAATGTATTGAAAACTGCCTCATGATTTTATATACATTATATACACATAAATATGTATATACACAAAGTTTATGTGTAAAACAGGTATTACTTATTTTGTACACTTTTCAGTGGAACAGAGCAGCCTGTTGTCTGGGACAAGCCATTTTAGTTTTTTCTACAAGTTCTCTGCTTTGTGTTCTCATGCTACTTAAAGCTGTTGTAGGCATGGATTGCCTTCACCTGCTTCATGTCTCACCAAGTAGCAAGTATTGATGACTCAGAACCCTCCATTCTGAGGCTCACTGAGGACAACTGTTACCATGGCTACATTATTACATACCTGCTAACTATCTCTGAGAATTCTTCCATAGGCTCTGAGTTGTCAGAAAGGAGACACATTAATGATGGGATGAGGACAAGGGTGTTCTGGTAGATTGGGGACAGCCTGCTAGTTTCATCTGGATGAGAAGTAGACAACTTTTGAATCCTGTGGCTTTAAATCTAGCAGAGGTGCCACATCATTGGCCTACGAAGTGCCCCAAGTATTTTTTCTTTTTTTTTGTAAAGTGCAGATCAGGTATAGACATGTTTAATTCACATGTATTGGATGTTCCAGCTGTGATATTTGACAATGGTTCAGGTCTCTGCAAAGTAGGTCTGGCAGGGGAAATTGGACCCCGTTCTGTCATTGACTCTGTTGTGGGGCACTCTAAATGCAACATACCATCAGTAAGAGGTAATCAAAATTGGTACTATGTAGGAGAAGAAGCCCAGACCAAATATGATAGCTTATATTTGTACTATCCCATTCAGCGTGGGCTGATAACAAGGTGGGATGACATGGAAAAACTCTGGCATCATCTTTTTGAGTTAGAAGTAGGAGTCAAACCCAGTGAGCAGCCAGTGTTCATGACTGAGACTTCCTTGAACCCAAGAGACATTCGTGAGAACACTGCAGAAATCATGTTTGAAAAGTTCAGTGTGCCTGCACTATATCTGTCCAACCATGCAGTGGGAGCACTCTATGCCTATGGGTATGTCACAGGCCTGGTGGTGGACAGTGGGGATGGGGTCACCTGTACTGTCCCCATTTATGAAGGTTATTCCCTGCCACATGCCATCACCAAGCTCTATGTGGCAGGGAGGGACATCACCGAACACCTTATCCAGGTTCTCCTTGGCACAGGTTGTAACTTCCCATGCATATACAATAAGGCTGTGATGGATGACCTGAAAGAAAATCTGTGCTTTGTCAACTTGGAGCCAGACGAAGTGTCATGGAAGAGGACCCATGACAACCAGAGACAATACAAACTTCCAGATGGGAATGTCATCCACATTGGGGAGAATTTGTGCCAGGTTCCAGAGGTTATTTTTGAACCCGACTAGCTAGGAATAGATGATCCCGGACTATCCAAAATGGTCTGCAACAGCATCTTGAAGTGTGACACCTCCATACAGAAGAAGCTTTTTTCAGGGATTGTGTTGTGTGGAGGCAATACTCTCTTCCCTGGCCTGGATGAAAGACTCAAAAAGGAGCTGGAACCACTGACATCCATAGAAAACCCCATCAAGATCACAGCTTCTCCTGATAGATGTTTTTCTACATGGATTGGTGCATCAGTTATGGCCTGTTTGAGCTCTTTCAAGCAGATGTGGGTCACCTCTGCAGATTTCAAGGAGTTTGGGAAATTTGTAGTTGAGAGAAAATGCTTTTAAAGAGCACTGAACACAGAGCAAAGCTCAAAATGCTAGATGACAGGAACACTGAGGGAGGAAAACAGCTCTGTGGATATCAATAGAATTGTTCAATAAAAGTTGTTTTCCCATTTCAGACTTCCTTTAATTCTTTGTAGCTCCAGAATAATTTCTGATGTATGTTATGAAGCTTCAAGTGGTTCTAATCCACCCTTCCTGTCTTAGTTATCTCTTTAGTTTTTCCTGAGAAGATCTTGGGTTATGTGTTGCAATAACTGGTATCTGATCCCCATGCTTAGAAGCTTGATTCAATTAGGGTCCCAAGGTCTTTGCTTTAAATTCTTGTCTTTGGTGATTCTGATGGACTTTCTGTGAGGGAGACAGAATCACCAAGAAACACAGACAGAGAGCATGGAATGAAATAGAATGCTGTCCCCTTCTTAAGACTCAACAAATCATTTTATTTGGTTGGTCTTTAGCACAGTAGAGATTTTCATTTGATATGACAAGAGTCAGCTAAAGAAATAGAGAGGTGTGTTAGGCTGAGGAATTTTCTATTTGTTTAAGGCTGTCTAAGCTCAGGAAATGTGCATTAAGAATCAATGCTGTTTGGATCACATGACAAGGGGAGAGCACATATGGGAGATATGGGAATAGGTAGAAAACCCAAAACATGAAATGATGTCCCCACTCCAGAGGAACTAATACAGAAACCTTAAAGCGACCGAGGAGAAGGGGATCAGGAACCAGTGTAAAGATCAGTTAGAAATGACTCAACTTGGGTTGTAACACATTTGTACATGAAAGCAATGCTAAGAATCTCTCTGTATATCTGTCCTTATGTCAACTAGCAAAAACGCTATGTCTTTCTTATTATGCTTATGCCTTCTCTTCAACAAAATTATAGATAAGGGCAGAATAGGTTCTGCCTGGAAGTGAGGGGGGAGAGGGGAAAGAGTGGGGGAGGGGGACGAGAGGAAAAATGACCCAAACAATGTACACACATGTGAATAAAGGAATAATAAAAAATTTTTTAAAAATGCTGATACTTTATTATTGTATTTTTCATTTGTTTTTACTTTCATGAATAGTCAGAGTATCATTTGATAGGAGTAAATACTGGAACAAGTTAATGATTATCAATAAAGCACTTTCTTAGTAAATTATGCATAAAGTGATATTTTTTCTCATTGTTTTAGTGTCACTTTTCCAAAACCTTATTGGGAAAAACATGGAAAATACAAAGAAGTCTTTGTAATACAATCTACTTTTGAAAACAAAAAAATAGCTGATACTTTCTCATATATTTGTATGTCTATAAACATTTGCACATATACATATTCATGAATATTTATTTTGATATGACTAATTATTTGAAGTTAAGTGCTAAATATAGGAAACAAGTTGTTGAGGATGTATGGAAGGAATGGTAGTGAACATGGAAGAAAAGTGGGGAAATCAAAAAGAAAGGACTATACATTAAGAATTTCAAACTAAATTCATGGAATTTTTTTTAGATTAATTTAATCATAGTTTGCAAATATCTTCTAAACTCCATGTTCATCAGTATAACATTGCTTGTTTAGATACAGCTATGAAAATTGTCTAACCACAGTAACTTAGTTAAATCAGGTCTCTACTGTTTAATATTTATTTGAGAGAGTTGGTTTAAAATTATATCTCTGTTCACAGATAACTTATCAAAACCAGACTGTAACAAGAAGATAATAGAATGACAACTTCCAAGGGAGGTAGAAAAATATAACTCTCAAAGGGAGCTATAAAAATATTACTATCTGTATAGATTTATGCAAGCACTAAAATCATTCCAAAATGGTGGTGAATAGACAAAAAGATATTTCTTTTCTTCTTCTATTAATTTTTTGTTAAGATATATTAATTGTACAGAGAGTATTCATTATGAAAATTCCAAATAGGCTTATATTGTACACTGGTTAGATCACCCCCGCCATCTCTCCACCTTGAACCCCTTCTCAGCCCCACTTAAGACTATTGAAAAAAATCTTCCTTTGTTCTATTTTGTGTAATAAGTATATGAAGTCCATCAGCCAAATTCTCTCACTTTAATCTCCTTCATTTACCCCCTCCCACAAGTTACCCCCACATTTTACAGTCCTATCTTTAATTATTAATTTCAAAATTTATGCTCAAAGGGGTTTCTCAATGTATCCCTGCTGTGAACATACTTTACTTTGGGTCAGTTCAACCTCTTCCACTGCTTACCCTATCCCTTTCCTCCCACACCCCCATTTTTCAACAGCTTTCAATACATATCCTTATATCTTCTACCTTCACAGATATTATGTTTTATGATTTTGTTGATGCTCTATCATTCTCTTTTCCTTTCCCTCCTTCCCCAAGATCCATAGAGCAGTTTCACTATTACAAACATGCTCTACATACATGTTTGTATATGATCATGCTTATTTTTGTGTATATGTTCACCTTTTGGATCTATCTTCCACATGAGGGAGAACATGTGACCTTTATCTTTCTGAACTGACTTACTTCACTTAGCATGATGACCTCCAATTGCATCCATTTACCTTCAAACCACATGGTGTCATTCTTCCTTATGGCTTAGTAAAACTCCATTGTGTATATATGCCACATTTTCTTTTGTTTTCTTTATTCATATATTCATATGTGCATACTTTGCTTGGGTCATTTCTCCCCCCGTTCCTCACCCCCTCCATCTCCCCCTGACTCCACTCTCTTTCAGGCAGAACCTATTCTGCCTTTTTCTCCAATTTTGTTGAAGAGAAGACATAAACAATAATAAGAAAGACAAAGCGTTTTTGCTAGTTGAGATAAGGATAGCTACACAGAGATTCCTAGCATTGTTTCCATGCACAAGTGTTTTACAACCTGAATTGATTCATGTCTACCTGACCTTTTCACTACTTCCCAGTTACCTTCCCATATTGACCTCTGTAGCTTTAAGGTTACTGTATTAGCTCCTCTGCAGTGGGGACATCAAATACTTTCAAGTTTTGGGTTTCCTACCTATCCCCATACCTCCGCTATGTACTCTTCCCTTAGTGTGTGACTCAAGTCCAACAACGTTACTGCCTTTGCCCTAGATCTAAAGTCTGCATATGAGGGAGAACATACGATTTTTGGTCTTCTGAGCCTGGCTAACTTCACTCAGGATAATGTTCTCCAGTTCCATCCATTTACTTGTGAATGATAAGATTTCATTCTTCTTCATGGCTGAGAAAAACTCCATTGTGTATGAATAACACATTTTCTTAATCCATTTGTCAGTAGTGGGGCATCTTGGCTGTTTCCATAACTTGGCTATTGTGAATAGTGCTGTAGTAAACATAGGTGTGCAGGTGCCTCTGTAGTAACCTGAGTCACTTTCCTTTGGGTATATCCCTAAGAGTTGGATTGCTGGATCATATGGCAGATCTATATTTAGATTTTTAGGAAGCCTCCATATTGTTTTCCAGAGTGGTTGCACTAGCTTGCATTCCCACTAGCAGTGTACTAGGGTTCCTTTTCCCCACATCCTTGCCAACACCTGTTGTTGGTGGGTTTTTTTTTATTTATTTACTTTTCTGACACTCTACTTTTGTTTTTTAAAATTATTTGTCTATTTATTCACATGTGCATACATTGTTTGGGCCATTTCTCCCCCTTGACCCCCCACCTCCCCTTGCTTCCAGGCAGAGCCTGTTCTTCCCTTTTCTCCAATTTTGTTGAAGAGAAGACATAAGCATAATAAGAAAGACAAAAAGTTTTGCTAGTTGAGATAAGGATAGCTATACAGAGAGATTCCTAGCATTGCTTCCATGCACAAGTGTATTACAACCCAAGTAGATTCATCTCTACCTAACTTTTTCACTAGTTCCTGATCCCCTTCCCATATTGACCTCTGCCACTTTATGTTTTCTGTATTAGCTCCTCTGCAGTGGGGACATCAAACACTTTCATGTTTTGCATAATAGCTATTCTAACAGAGGTGAGGTGGAATCTCAGTGTGGTTTTGATTTGCATTTTCTTTATGGCCAGAGATGGTGAGCATTTTTTCATGTGTTTTTTGGCCATTTGAATTTCTTCTTTTGAAAAAGTTTGGTTTAGTTCAGTTACCCATTTCTTTATTGGTTCATTGAATTTGGGAGAGTTTAGTTTTTTGAGCTCCCTGTATATTCTGGTTATCAGTTCTTTGTCTGATGTATAGCTTATAATCCACATTTTCTTGATCCATTCATCAGTTGTAGGGCATCTGGGTTGTTTCCATAGCTTGGCTATTATGAATAGTGCTGCTATGAGCATCAGTGTACAGGTGTCTATATTGTATCCTGACTTATGTTCTTTTGGGTATATGTCCAGGAGCAGTATCACCAATCATATGGTTGCTCTAAAGTCTTTTGAGGAATCTCCACATTGCTTTCCATAATAGTTGTACTAATTTGTATCCCCACCAACAGTGTATAAGGGTTCCTGTTTCACTGCACCCTCACCAGTATTTGTCACTGTTATTGTCCTTGAATATGGCCATTATAACTAGGGTGAGATGAAATTTTAATGTAGCTTTGATTTGCATCTCTTTTATAGCCAGGCACGTTGAACACTTCATGTATTTATTGGCCATTTGTAACTCTTCTTTTGAAAATACCCTTTTCAATTCACGTCCCAGTAAATTTTCCCTGTTGGGCACCTGTTCCTCTCAAGTCTTCTGCTGGTGGTCATGTACAGGGAGGAGGACTAGAAAAGAAACAGGCAGACTGTGTTCTGACGATAAGACAGGAGGAAAGGATGGCAAAGCAGAGAGATAAAACTTTAAGAATTGAAATATGAAGGTCACATAACACTGGGGAAATGAAATAGCCAATAAAGTCACATGCAGCCACATGTGGGTTGAGCTTTGCTTTTTGCTTCTGTAACCTGGTTGCAAGGGTATATAAGGTGAGACCCCTTTGTTTTCAGGGATCAGCCTTTGGACATGAGACCACTGGATCTGTGCCGGCACAATAAAACGTTGCCTCCTGCAA